GCAGCTCACTCATTTCCTTGCTGTCATCTGTGTAGGACCCATCTTGTTTAAGTAGGGGCCCAATACTGGACGTTGTTCTCGACTTTGATTTGGCATAGGAGAAGAAATACTTTGGGTTTCTTTCAATTTCATTCATGGCTTTTAGTTCTTCCCACGATTCCTGATTCCTATAAGATTCCTTTAGCTTAAGTTCGATGCTGCTATTTCTCTGACCAGTGTCTCCCTACGCATTTCAGATATATTGACCTCTTTTAGTCGCTCTGTTATTCTTTTCCGTCGCCTGTAAAGGGAGCGCCTGTCTCTTTCTATTTTACATCTACTCCTTTTTTTTCTTAGAGGAATAAGCCTTGTGCATACATCGAGTGCCACCAAGTTAATCTGTTCTAGGCATAAGTTGGGGGTCTGTGTTGCTTAGTATATCTTCCCAGCTTATATCGGTTAGGACTTGGTTTACTTGGTCCCACTTTATGTTTTTGTTATTGAAGTTGAATTTGGTGAATGCTCCCTCATGACTAATCTTATTATGTCGGTCTGGGGCTCCGCTCATACATGTCTGAACCTCAATTATGTTGTGATCTGAGTATTTTGTTTTTGATATGGTGACATTTCTTATCAGATCATCATTGTTAGTGAAGATGAGGTCTAGTGTATTCTCCAGTCTAGTAGGCTCTATTATTTGCTGGTTTAAATTGAATTTTGTGCAGAGATTTAAAAGCTCGTGTGAGTGTGAGTTTTCATCAGAGCTGCCTCCTGGTGTTATTACTGCAACAATATTATTTGCTATATTCCTCCATTTTAGGTGCCTTAAGTTGAAATCCCCCAGGAGCAAGATGTTGGGTGCAGGAGCTGGAAGATTTTCCAGACAGTGGTCAATTTTTAACAGCTGTTCCTGGAATTGCTGGGATGTTGTATCCGGAGGCTTGTAGACTACCACAATGACTAGGTTTTGGTTCTCGACCTTTACTGCTAAAACTTCCACTACATCATTTGAGGCATTAAGCAGTTCTGTGCAAACAAGTGACTCTGCAATGTACAGGCCAACTTCCCCCCTTTTGCCTGTTCACTCTGTCACATCTGTATAGGTTGTAACCTGGGATCCATATTTCGTTGTATGACAAATTTCGAAGAAAATTTCCAAGACCATAGGCATACTATTGAAGATACAGTACTATGTTCCACAGTCAGCCCTCCTGGCCCTATATCACTCACTTATTTACCCCTTTCTCACCTATGGAATTTGTGCATGGGGCTCAACAACAATAAACCATCTCAGACCATTAATTACCCAAGAAAAGGCTGCAGAATGATAAATTCCCACTACAGGCAGTATACTCCACCAATATTCAAAGCTCTAAATTTACTCGCCGTACAAAACATCCATACTTATTATTGTACCTACTACAGTGGTCCCTCGATAGTCGTAAGGCTCGATTGTCATAATTTTCTAAAATTGTAACGTCATTTTCGTCAAAACATTGGCTTGCGAATCGTCATTTGACTCACAAATAATCGTTCATGTGGGACGCGTACACACAGCCCCGAGCTGCCTCACACTCCATTCCCAGCCAGTGTACCATTGTTTATCAGTGAGTGAGGATGATCCCACGAATTCATACGATACATTTCATAATACTATTCCATTCGTTTTAGTGTTTGCAACTGCTAAATAAGTCACCTTGGCTCCAAAGAAAGCTTCTAGTGCCAACCCTTTGGTAAAGAATGTGAGAAACACATAATTTAAAAAAAGTTCGTAGAAAAATACAAAGGTGGTGGTGGTAGAGTGGAAACAGCTGTGATAGTGGTAGAGGGTGGTAGTGATGGTGGTAGAGGGTGCTAGCAGTTGTGATAGTGGTAGAGGGTGCTAGCAGTTGTGATAGTGGTAGACAGTGGTAGTGATGGTGGTAGAAGGTGGTAGTGATGGTGGTAGAGGGTGCTAGCAGTTGTGATAGTGGTAGAGGGTGGTAGTGATGGTGGTAGAGGGTGCTAGCAGTTGTGATTGTAGTAGACAGTGGTAGTGATGGTGGTAGCAGTTGTGATAGTGGTAGAAGGTGGTAGTGATGGTGGTAGAGAGTGGTAGTGGTTGTGATGGTGGTAGAGGGTGCCTTCTTCAGTGATTCAGTGATTCTACCAACTCCAATGTTGTTGGAGTTATATAGGACTACAGAAAACACCGCCGCCTCAGCTGCTGCTTCACCACCATTATGGACGGCTTACTCTCAGTGGCCCTTATACACCCAACAACAACACAACACAACACACCTCTCATGACATACATAATGACTTATTTTATTCATTTTAGAGTATATTCCATGTTTCTATGTTATTAATAGTATTGTTTATTATGTCATATTAGTTGAATTGTGATAGATAAATAAGCCATAGAGTTGATATTAGTGTCATATTCTCCAACAATAAACTCTCCTCCCCTCCCTCTGCCATACGCCAATGTGAAGGCTTATTCAGCCCTGTAACAACTTCAGTCAGTATTACCAAGGCTGGCTCCTCCTCAGGAAAATTAATGAATAGAAAAAGAAATAATAACAGACAATGATAAAAACTTTATTATTTAGAAACAGAAAATGTAAAACAATAAAACATGAATGGGTATCCTAATTGAAAGAAAAATGAAAAATGAAATGAAAAAAATTACATTTGAACTCAACTCTAATATAGGTATATCATGGTAATGGGGTGTCAGGTGTTGGTGACACTGAGTGTTGTTGAAATCGTAGCCATTGCTGATGGGGGGGGGGGGTAGCAGGTGTTTGTGACCACCACTGGCTCGTTCTTCACCAAGTATAGCCGTGTGTAATTACTTCAGATGACAGGAAAACAGGTTCGTTACCACTGCTATGATGAGGTGTTAGGTCCTGTGTTTGCTTACATAACAGGTAAGTAGACTAAACATGGGACGTCTCAGGACGTTAGTCCGTCTCCTTCTATTCTTCTCGTTGGTTGGCAGGTGACCCTCTCTGTCATTCCAAGCTGTAATGAGAGACAGATTACCCACTGCTTAAGAAATCACTCTCCATGATAAGTACAATACCTAAAAGATGTGGTGATTATTAAAACATTTAACAGATAAAGAGTGAAAGGACTAAGTTAATTATTGGTCAAAAGTGAAGCTTTCAACCAATAAGTCCACTAAAATATGATCAGGCGTGTACTTTCAGTAGTGTTGGGAGCTGTGAGTCGAGTGATTTACTGTTTGACCGGAGCCCCACACGTCACCTTTCGGGGGGGGAAGAGGGAGGGGAAGGGATAGCGGGAGCTAGACTGACCCTGCCTTAACAAGCAGCCGGCAATCAAACTATCACTTTCGGGGAGGGGGAAAAAGGGGGGAGGGGGAATAGCGGGAGCTGGACTTACCCTACCTTAACAAGTAGCTGGCAATGAAACTATTGTTACTATACACTCCCTCGCTACTCCTATCTATTGAACTTTTCCCTCACAGCCAACAAAAGTCTTCAATAAAAGGTAAGTGTGATGTTAAATGTTCATTTATACATTTTATTAGTGCTTTACATTTATTTGGCATTCTTTTCTGCATGTAAATCTATATTTAAGCTAGGGAAGTGACCCCTGAAGTGACCTAGAGTCCTTATGGAGGGGGATTCCCCTTCCAAACAATAACCTCTCTTCCCTCTCTCCTCCTCCTTGTCTTCCATTCTTCAACAACAGCCTTCAGTAAAGGTAACTGTCATGTTGAATGTTCATTCTTTTGTGCATGTAAATCTATCTTTAAGGTAAAAAAAAAAAATTGTTGTTGATACTTCTGGATGTCTGGAACAAATTAATTGGATTTACGTTATTTCTTATGGGGAAAATGGATTCGAAAATCATCAATTTCGATAATAGTCGCACTGATTAATTACGAAAAACGAGGGACCACTGTACATACATAGAACACTTAACTCAGATATAAACCCTCCCCTCAAACTTCTTACCAACCTTGACAGAACACATGACCATAACACAAGGCACAGATCACTCTTCGATGTTCCTCATGTCCATCTCACAATATGTAAAAATGCAATGCACATAAAAGGCCCAAGAATCGGGAATTCATTACCTGTGAATATAAAAGAAATACTTATCAATTCAAGACTCTTTTTAAAAACCACTTACTCGCCCACTACTAAATAAATACTGAATAACTGTATCTTATAAATGTATAACCTGTGACCCTATGAAACTATGTTTTTTGTAATTACATTACCTAATAGAATACTCCAGTCTTATGAATGCACAGTAACTCATCAAATGACCATATGACCTGTTTCTGCACTACAAATCATTGATTTTATTCGATTTGACTGGATTATATTATAAATTGTGCTACAAATTTGTACAACTATAAAACTTCTTATTTGAAATACTCATTTGTACTTCATGGTGTGATTTGCTTACTGTAATTTTTACCACTGAATATATCATTGCTTAGTTAATCTTAAGCCTGCCCACAATGCTCTGCATACGAGGGGCTTTTGGCATGTACACTCACTGTATTTCTTTTGTACAACTATGTTTCATGTCCAAATAATAATAAATGAATAAATATTACTTGATTTATCATTAGGGAAATTAGCATTTTTCGTTTATTTAACTCCCGAAGCACTGGATAAAAAGACATACTGCTGGTAGGGGTGAAGAAAAACACACAAGAGCAAAGAAATCTTTATTATGAATAATTTTTTAAAGCAAACTTTAAAACTCAGTAATGTTTTCATCAGTATGCCTAATATTTCTCCCAAATTTAGAAGCTTTTTTGTTAGATCAACTTTTGCCATATAGGCCAGTCAAATTATGCTAAAATGTATATAATATAAATTAATATCTATAAAATGCAGTATTTACTTTTAAGTTGAGGAACTGTTCGGTATTTAATGATTTTTGTTAATTAGAGGAAAATTATGTGCTCTTGATATATTGACGAATTTGTAATGTAGTATTTTGTGCCATTTTGCTTTAAAACTTCACTTTTCCAACACTACTTTCAGATACAGAAAATCATTAATAAGGGTGATAAAAATGAATGTGATACAGAACGTGAGCAGTCCTTGGTTGATCAGTGGGTAAGCTTAACTGAAGAGAGAAATGCCGTCCTGGTCCCTGCTGCTGGCTCCAGCATTCCTGGTGCACCTGCAGACTGGGATCCTCCTCCAGGAATGGAGGCTCATGTGCCAGTCCTCTTCTTAGACTTAAACGGTGCAGAAATATTTTAACCTTATCTTATTATATCCAATAAATTTTACATTTTATTTATTATCATATTGCTATTGCTTAATACTGTACAGTATATAGTTTTTTTTTTTCGGCCGTCTCTCACCTAGGCAGTATATAGTATTACCACAAATTTTATTGACTTAGTTAATCCTAATGAGACTTGCCTAACATTTCCTAGTTTATAAGTTAGCTAAAAAAGGCCTGTGTTTGATAAAACAAGTACAGTTGCACCTCATTTATACGAGGTACAGTTGCACCTCATTTATACGAGATACAGTTGCACCTCATTTATACGAGGACTAAGTAACTGAGAAATCTGGTTGAATGAAAGGATTTTATTTTCTCTACCCATCTATGCTTAACCAAAAATCCTTCAGTAATCCAAGAAGAGATGGCAATTTTTTTCATATATTTCACAGTAATTATGCATTAGTCTTCACTTCTGCATGCTGATGACTGTGATTAAGGAGGTATAAGTGTAAAAAAAAAAAATGTTAGAAGTATGTCAGCTCAGTTTTGCTTGATCAGGGCTTTTTTTTTATGAATAATTGGCAGAGGGAGTTGACAGATTGCCTTGCTTCTAGGAGGGCAGAGAATGCACTGTTTTTCACACATCTATGCATTGATCGTGTTTTATATGTGACAATTAAAAATATAAATAAAGTTCAAAATTAACCCTATGTCTTCTGTGACCATTGTAAAAATATTTCTAAGGAAATTCTCAGCTGGACATCATGTGCTTCATCTGTAGTGTAATCTAAGAGGAGAAGCTAAGTGTAGCATTTCCCCACCTGCAAACTCAACTGGATAGCTGCAAATACTAATAGGTGGTTACAAATATTACATAGCAATGGCTGATCAGAAGCATTATTCTCCACCTCTTGTTAGTGAATGTACAAAACATTTTCTGGTAAATACACTTTTAGAAAGACATATGTGTCTACTTTTTTAAAGATTGCTGGGGTTATATAAGTTATGCTCACTAATACTGCTATCTCTCCTCATCTTAATCCTAAAATTATTCAAGATTAATGAGGTGCAACTGTATAACTGTTTTCAGAACCTGTAAAGGCATTGAATGAGTTGTAAGTCTGTAGTCTAAATTCAGTAATGATTATTTTGGATTGTTCTTAAAAGTGATTTATTGGTTCAGCATTCAGCAATTGCCTATATTAGAATATTAATAACTTGTCTGGCTCATTATGAATTATACTTAAAACTGAAAGCTACACTCTTATGGTGGAATAATTTATTACTAACCCACAAATTAGAGATAAAACTAGACAATGTCTCATTATTCCCTAGACCATTATCAGATCATGACAGGGTAGTCCAGGATGGACTGAAACATCACAACTTAATGATGATCTAAAGCACAGTGAAAAAATGTCTAGTTTTATCTCCAATCTGAATGCTAGTTGTGAAGAAGTTTTTTTTCTTTTACAGCGGATGATTTCTCAACACAAGGATTTGGTGAGCTGACTTTAGCAGGAAACAATGCCATAATCCCTAAAGAAAATTGCAATAAATTCTTCCAACTTCCTATTGTAAAGTGTTATGAAAAAGATGTATGTGCAGTAGCTTCCTGGGACTCGTCCATCCATGACAACATGTACCTCAACAGACTCACACCAAGTATGATACCCACACTTTATATCTTAAGTACTCAAATGTTTACTATCATTCTTTTAAATATCTAATTGTTATCATGCCAACATTAAAAAGATTTTAAGTGTACTCCTTATAACTCTGTGCTTACTATCATATTCTTTATTAGGTTTAACTTTTAAGTTTTTTAATTAAAATACAGTAATGTGATTACAATACAATACAATTTTTATTTGTGTGAATGCAATTAAAAATGTTCATCCAAGATGTTCATAGTGAGTCAATAAAAATCCTTGACAATACTTGCTCTAAATCTAAAAGATTATGAGGAATGTGTGAAATTTTCTTAGTACCCTCCATTAATTTTTGCAACCTGTTCACTTTGTCCCAAGCAATTCCTTCCCCTTTTCCCCCTCCTCCTCCTCATCCTCTGTCTCCACCTCCACTTCCTCTTCTGCCTCCACCGCTGCCTTCCACTGTTCTTGCCAAGCAAGAGGAAATCATATTCACTAGACAACTTTTTTTCTTATCTAATTAATATTTCCCAAAATGTATATAATTTATGGATGCTTAATTTATGTATAACACCTGTATACCATAAAAAGTTTTTAGAGAAAATACAGTGCATTAATATAAAAAATGAGAAAAGGCGCAGTAGAAAAATATTTTGTTAACCACGAAGGTTAGTAACTCACTATTGTGCTTCATTATAATTACACTACATGTTCCTGTGTTTTTAAGAGTGATGTATTTTTTCTAGTTGTACTTCTACAATTGTTGCATTTTTTTTTTTAACACATCAGCTGTTTTCCACTGAAGCAGGTTTTTTAATAATAAAAAGTGATTGAGTGTTTAACCCCTTAACTGTCCAAATGTAGATCTACATTCTCTCGCCCAGTGCTCCGAATATTTAAAAAAAAAAAATTAAATTAACCCTTTTAACCCTTTCAGGGTTTCTGCCGTACTAGTACGGCTTAGTCCCAGGGAAACTGGTGGAATTATGCTCCTGCAAGGTTAGTGACCTCGGTGATATTTACAAATCGGCAATTTTGCCTACTTTGAGCCCTATTTTCGGCTAATTCCATTGTTCCAGTCGACCAAACTCATAGCTGTTTCTTTAGAACTCCATTTTTTCTATCGATTGAGTACAAGAAACTGCCAATTTACCAATTTCAACTACCCAATAAAGTGGTCAGAAATTTGCAATTTGGCCAGTTTCACGAAAATTAAAAAAATATGACAATTTCAAAATAGGGTCCAGAATGAACAATGCAGACATTCTTGGCTCTAAAATAACATTTTCTTTGTTCATCAATCACGTCTGCAGGTCCCTCTCATATTACTCGTGCTTTCTATTTTAAATTTTTATTTAAATAAAAAAATAGAAGATTTACTGTTATGCAGACTACTGCAATATTGTAATAATTGTATAAATAATGTCAACCCATTCATGACTGCATATTAGAATGGCTACTTGGACATTTATTGGACAATGACATCATTTGTTTACTTTTGAACATCGGCAAAAATCAAACATTTCCCCTACTTTGAGCACCATTTCAAGGTTCTTTTCATATTAGAACCAATCAAAATCACCTCTATTTCTGTAATATGTTTTCCATTCTATCAAACAGGAACAAGAAAACGAGAATACAACCATAAATACTTTATGAAAATAGACCACAAAGTTGGCATTTTAATTAAAAAAAAACGGTCGGAATTTTTTTTCTCATGCACTGCGTGCTGCAGGATTTTTTTTATATAGTGCACACTGACCACACAGACCCATTCTCTCACATGTGGGCCTACCAGCTTTCTCCTGCTTGATTTAAAGTCGCTAGAATTTATGAGTATACATAGGTCCAAAAACAGTGGCTCGTAAGACGTATATATACGACCAAAACAGTCAAAGGGTTAATTAGAATATTGAATAATGTGGGACTGATTACACCTCCCTCTTGACAATGTCACAATTCCCCCCCCCCCCCCAAAAAAAAAAAAAAAAAAAAATCTGAAATGGTAGAAAATCTGTTTCTGTAGGTTGACACCAAAAATGCTAAATCTGATGGAAACTTACGGAATTACATAGGTGCAAAGTTGGCAGTCTGGGCACAATTCATGCACTGGCAATTTTGCCCAATTTAAATCCTATTTTAACCCTTTGAGGGTCCAAGCCTTGTCCACAGGATCCGAGAATTTAAAAAAAAAAATTTCTTGTGAAATGGTAGAGAATCTTTTTCTGAAGGTAATAAAAAAAAGTATGAAATTTGGTGGAAAACTGATGAAATTACACTTGCAAATTTTACTGTGTTAATTTTACTGTGTCAGAGATATTTACACATTGTTTTTTTTGCCCACTTTGACTCCTATTTTAGGCCAATTACATTATTCCAGTCAACCAAATTCTTAGCTATTTCACTAGCATTACTTCTATTTTATTGAATGAGCACAAGAAACTGCCCAATCAACTATTTCAACTACCTAATAAAGTGATCAGAAATTGGTAATTTGGCCAATTTCACACATAGTTCAAAATATTTCAATTGCAAAATAGGGTCCAGAATAAGCAATAATGCAGGCATTCCTGCCACTAAAATAACATTTCCTCTGTTTATTAGTTATATTATCCAGGCTTTACAGATGAATTCCATTTTAATTTTTTATTTACGTGAAGAATTTTTTTCACACCAAAACAAAGATTTACTGTTATGCAGTATTGTAATACATAATTGTATAAATAATATCAGCGCAATAATTGTATAAACAGTATCAGCAAACATATATTAGACCCACCAGTTGACGTATACTGAATGTATAATGTGATTTGTTTACTCTTGAACATTCGGCAAAAATCGAACATTTCCACTGCTTTGAGCTCAATTTCAAGCTATTTTCACTATTAAAACCAACCAAAATCATCTCTATTTCTGTAATATATCTTCCATTCTATCAAATGAGACCAAGAAACCAAAAATATAACTAACAAAAACATACAAAAATACACCACAAACTCGGTGTTTTAATCCAAAAAGAGTCGCAGCTTTTTTTGTCATTATGCGCTGTGTGCTGCAGGATTTGTTTTATATGGTGCACACTTACCACAAAGATCCATTCTCTCATATCTAGGCCCAAATTTACAGCTCACAGCTTATATGAGTGAGCTGAGCTTATGGCGTAGAACTACGGCTTGGACCCTGTGGACAAGGTGTAGATATACGGCTTGGACCCTCAAAGAGTTAAGACAATTCCATTGCTCAATTAGACTAAATTCTTGGCTATTTCACTATCATGCCTTCTGTTATATCAACTGACCACAAGGAACCACCCATTCAACTATCAGAACTACTCAATAAAGTACACAGAAGTTGGTAGTTTGTTGAATTTTAGAGAAAATTCAACAAATTCTGAAACATAACACTCTAAAGGAGGAGGGAGTTAGGATAAAATATAAGTAACAGTTGGAAGAAAGATGGGCTAGTGAGAGTACAGGTAATGAGGAGGTTGAAGAGGTATGAGGTACAGTGCCTAGCAAAAAGTTTGTGGATATAGGAGGGTGTGTGCAGGAGGGAAGAGGAGCATTTGATAGAATGATGAGGTAAAGAGAATGTAAAAGCTAGCATATTAAAGGCTTTTGAGTATAAAGAGTAAAAGAGAGGTTAAGTGAGAGGTGAGGGAGTGTAAAAGGAGAGTGAGATTCTGTCAACAAATTTTGCTGAGAACAAGAAAAATTTTTAGGGTGAGATTAATTAGTTGAGAAAGCTCAGGGAACAAATAGATTTAACAATTAATAGCAGAAGAGGGGAGTGATTAGAAGGAGAATTGGAAGTATTGGGAATATAGAGGGAATATTTTGAGAAGCTGTTAAATTTGGATGAAGAGAGGGAGACAATGATTTCATGCATTGACCAAGAAGGTATAACATCTTTTACAAATGAGGAAGAGCCAGATCTGAGTTTGGGGAAGGTGTATGATGCAAAGAGTAAAACGAAAGGGGGTACAGCAGCAGCTGGGCTTGATGGGATATAATTTTGGAGTGGTTAGTGCTTTTGTTTTGTAAATGTATGAATGAGGGGAAGGTACCCAAGGATTAGCATTGAGTTTACCTGGAGAGAGTTCTAGGGGTCAACGCCCCCGCGGCCCGGTCTGTGACCAGGCCTCCTTGTATACAAAGTTCCTTTGTATAAAGGAAAAAGGGACAAAAGAGAGTGTGAATTATAGGGAAAGAAGTTTGCTGAGTATACCAGGTAAAGTGAATGGTAGAATAATTATTGAAAGAATTAACCCTTTCACGGTTTCCAACATACTAATACGGCTCACGGGCCAGGGTTATTGACATACTAGTACAGGTAAATTCTAGCGCCTTCAAATCATGCAGGAAAAGGCTGGTAGGCCTAGATGTGAGAGAATGGGTGTGTGTGGTCTGTGCGTGGTAGAAAAAAATCTGGGACCCAGTGGCGCATTGTGGGAAGACCATTTTAGTAGACCTTGTTCACCATGCCTTGCGGTAAGAAATTCCTCACTCCTTGGCGAACTGGGACTCTTTTGTTCCCCAGTGACAGTCTAATACAGATGGAAGTGCCAGTGAAGATGAGTTTTAAGGTTTTGATAAGGGTGTGACCGAAACTAATGACCATAATACCGGTAATAGTGAGGAAAACCCAGACGACCCTCAGCCTTCCACCTCTGGTGCTGGGCCGTCTTGTTCACGTTCAGCTGTACCAGAATCGAAGAGGAAACTCCTATTTTCCCATATCCCAGACTCAGATGTGAGCATTGGTGGTGATACTGATAGTGAATATGAACTACAAGCTCTTGAAAACAGTTCCAGTAGCAATAGTGAAGTGGAATATTCTCCAGTGAAGTGTCAGTATATACGACGGTATATGAGCTCTGGTAGTGTGCCATATGCTATTCCAAGGAGAAGGAGTACATCTCGGAGTATATCCCGTGGCTGTACAACAGGAACAGATAGTGAAAATGAAGATAATAATGTTGCAATTGGGATGGAAAATGTGCATGGTGGTGGT